GTCAGCCTCGTGAATGCTGCTGGGATTACAAGCATGCACCACTGTGCCTGGCTGAGATTCCACCTTACTCCAGAAAGAATGGCTGTCATCAAGAAATCAAACAATAACAAATGCTGATGAGGCTACAGGGAATAGGAACCCTTCTGCATTGTTAGTGGGAATATAAACTAATGTAACCACTATAAAAATCGGTATGGAGATTCCTCAAAAAAGTAAAAATAGAAATCCATTCAACCCTGCTATTCTCCTTCTCAGTATCTTCCTGAAAAATGTAATGTCACAGTATTACAGTGATATATGCATCCCCATATTCATAGCACCACAATTCATAATAGCTAAATCTTTGAAGTGGGCTATATGTCAACCAATAGATGAGTGGATAGAAAAAATGTGGTATTGATACACAATGGAGTACTACTGTGCTATAAAAAAAGAAAATTTGTAGGAAAGTGGATGCAGCTTGAGACCACAATGTTAAGGCAAATAGATCAGACATAGAAAATAAATATTGCTTGGTTTCTCTTACATGGGAAACTCAAAGTGTAAATAAAAAGCAAAATAAAAAATAATAAAAAACAGAGATCTTTTGCAAATGGGATGGGACCAAGAGATGGAGGAAGAGGGAGAGAAAAGAGGCAAAGGGGATGTAAAAAGAGTTAAGATGTGTTATGTACATGAACCAACTCTCCATAATTAATGTGATCATTATGTACTTCCAACATGTAATAATAAGTGTTTTATAGACAGCATTTAATTGAACCTGTTTTTTAAAAAATCCATCTGCTTTTAATTGGAGAGTTTAACCCATTTAGATTTGATGTAATTATGGATAAAGAAGAACTTCTGCCATTTAACTATTTGTTTTCTAGCTGTCTGAAGGTTTTTTTTTTTTTTTTTTTTTGCTTTGTTTTGTTTTTTAGCTGGGTCTTCCTATATCTTAGGTTGGCTTTGAAATATGTAGATCTGGCTGGCTTCAAATTCATGATCCTCCTGCCTCAGCCTCCTGGAGTACTGGAATTGATTACAGGCTTGCATGACCATTCCTGGCTTGTCCCTCTTTTTAGTCCTCATTTCTTCTATTTTTGTCTTCTTTATGTTTGGTTATTTTCTAGTGTATTACTGTAGTTATCTTGTTCATCTACTATTTTTTTGGAATTTTATTTCTTTTTTTAAGATGTTTGTTTTATTTTGTTTTATCTTTTTGATATCTTTTTGATCTTACTATGCAGTTCAGGCTGGCCTTGAGCTCACTTTGTAGCCCAGGCTGGTCTCAAACTTGTAACAATCCTTCTGCCTCAGCCTCCTGAATGCCGGGGTTACAGGCATGCACCACCACATCTGGCTATTTTTTTGGAATTTTCTTAGAAATGACAAACAGTCTACTTTAAATTTTCAAAAATAAATAATAAATTTCCCACACCTTTTTTTTTTTTTTTTTTTGAGACAGGGTCTTTCTGTGTGGTTCAGGCTGGCCTCAAACTCATGGCAATCCTTCTGTCTCAGCCTTCCGTGTGTTGGGATTACAGGCACCACCACACCCGGCCTTCCTACACTTAATTTCAACAGGACACAAAAATTTTGCTCCTGTGAAGTATTTTTTCCCTGTGCCATTGTGCAGTTAGTATACAAACTATATCTTTATAAATTGTGTCCTTATTAATATAAGTTGGGTTTTTTGGTTATGTTTTGTGGTGCTGGGGCTTGAACAAGGGCCTTTACATTGAGCTAGCTATATCCCTAATCCTTTTACTTTTTTATTTCAAAACAAGAGCTCACTAAATTTCTGAGTTGCCCAGGCTGTACTTAAACTTGAAATCCTTCTGCCTCAGCTTCTCATACTCCCAGGATTACAGATGCACACCACTGCATCCAGTTTAATTTTTAGAGAATAGTATTGTGGAATATAAATTTTTGGCTGATAGTCTTTTAGCGCTGAATATGTTTTTCCACTGTGCTTTAACCTCCATGGTGCCTAATAATTGGCTTTTTTCTTGCTCCTTTTACGATTTTTTTCTTTGAAAAGTGAAGTGTTGGATACCCTGCTTCCCTTCTTAGAAAGGGTTTCCAGCACGGTTTTACTTTTTCATTTCTCCTCACTGTTCAATTTATTTCAGTCTGGCTTCCAACTTTCAGTCTCAGTGACATTTTTCAGTTCTGTCCTCCAACAGTTTTCTACAATGTTGATCATTTTTACCTTCTTGAAATTTTTTTATTTTGTTTTGTTTTGTTTTTTGTTTTCCTCACTCTAAACTCTAGATTTTCCTTTGACTGCCCTGGATTCTTCTTCCCAGTACTTCCTTTGCTGCTTCCTTTTCTCCTTAAGTGTAAACAGTATCTTGGAAATGTTTGACACCTCAGGCTACTTAGTGAGAGTCTTCCTGGCCCAGGGCATCAACTTTAAAGATATCATAATGATGATAAACATTTTTTCATATAATGAGATGACTTTGATGTATGAGACTCTGACCCTGAGTTCTTTTTTTAAATTTTTAAAGAGTAAAAGAAGGATAACATAGTAATAGGGGGGCTTACCGAATTACAGACAAAGTGGTAGGAAATTATCAATAGTTGTTGTTTTACATATTGTTATCTACAAGATAGTTTCTCAGCTGAGTTCTTTTCTGTTCACTTTGGTTGACTAGATTCTTATCATCCTTTAGGATTAAAGTTACTTCCACAGAAAGGCCTCCCTGTTACTTTTTGATAGTACTGGAGTTTTCCTTTTTCTCCTCATACTCATTACTAAATTTAAAATGCCTTGAACCTATTGTATCAATATGTAGAGTCTTATGTTGTATCAGTTCATTTAATCTTCAAAGTGACACTATGTGCTTTGCAGGGGTGGGGGTGGGAGCTACCATAAACCCCATTTTACAGATGAAAAAAAAAGGAAAAAAAAAGATTCTTTGTCTTCCAAAAGATTATGATAAGCTGTAGCTTTATGTTTATCCTATGTAGAGATTCTTGATATGTATAGGTAATTTTTCATCGAATGTATGAAATTTGGGGCCATTACCTCTTCAAGTATCCTTTCTGCCCTATGCATCTTCCACTTCTTCAGGAATTGCACATTGTACATACATTGGTGTCCCATTGAGGTCTTCTTCATTTTTTTCATTCTTTCTCTTAGACTAATCTCAGTTGATTTACAAATTTGCAGATTCTCTTTCTGCTTAATCATATCTGCCCCTCTAGTAAAATTATTATACTTACAAAATTCTTTTTTTTTTTTTTGGTTTTTCTCTGGTACCGGGAACCGAACTCACGACCTTGCGCTTGCCAGGAAGGCGCTTTTGCCGCTGAGCTAAATCCCCAGCCCCTATACTTACAAAATTCTTATTGGGTGTGGTGGCACATGCCTGTAATCCCAGCACTCAGGAGGCTGAGGCAGGAGGATCATTACAAGTTTGAGGCCAGCCTGGGCTACAAAGGGAGCTCAAGGCCAGCCTGAACTGCATAGTGAAACTCTGTCTTAAAAAAATAAATAAAATAAACTACAACCCCAGTACTTTTTCTTTATTTTTTATTTTGAGACAAGGTCTTGCTAAGTCACTAAATTGTCTAGGGTGAGTTCAGACTTGCAGTCCTCCTGCCTCAGCCTTCCAGAGTGCTGGTATTACAGGCATGCTCTACCATGTCTAACTCTATTATTTTTCTTCATATAGGTCAGTTTCTTGCTTCTTTGTACGTCGCATAATTTGCATGCTTTTAACCCTCAGCCAGCTAGGTGACAGCTGTGCTTTGGCCTTCCCTTCCTGCTTATACAGCCTGGAGTTCAGCCTAGAGTGTGAGCTTAGGGCCTTCGTAGATGCTTCCTGAGCTTGTGCACATCCTGGTGGTATTCCTATGGTCTTCTTGATTTCCAGGAATGTGTTGGAACTTTTCAAAGCCCTTCTGGACATCTCATTCCCTACTTTTTCCTTTATGCTTTTTTAGTTAGCTTAATATTTGCCTCAGCTGATAATCATTTTAGGCAGGGGAAACAAGTGCCTCTAATTGTTTGCAGAAAATATTTTTGGGGAAAAGGTTTTTCTGCATTTAGTGAGCTTTGAGCTCTGAGACATTGTGAGCCTGAGTTCCAGCTCAAGACAAATAAAGACAGCCTTGCAAGTCAGGTCTTCTGGAGAACCACTAGACAAGTGAAATAATGAGTTCTCTTAGAGTGAAGCTCTAGAGCACCAGCCCTGCTCCTTCCCTCTAGTGAGTGCCATACTTGTGTTCGCCATGATTGTGGGCTGGTGACTTTCACAGCTGCTATGGAGCTGCAGAAGGAGAAAGGAGAATAAAGCAAGCTAAAATAATGTTAGAAAGCTTGGGGTTTTTTTAACTGACATTCAGCTGTCTTTTTGAATATGCATTTCCAGATTGCTACAAGCTCTTTATTGATTTCCAGAGTCCTGAAAAAGTTGATTCTAACCATTTTTGCTAGTTTTCTCATTGCTTTTGGGGGCAGTACTGGGGATTGAACACAGGGCCTTTGCAGTAAGCTACATTTCCAGCCCCTTTTTAGAATTTTTTAAAAAAAATTTGGATACAGAATTTGTGTTGTTAAATTGTCCAGGCTAGGCTCAAACTTGTGATCCTCCCTGGCTCTCCAGAGTGCTAGGATTACAGGTGGTGTACCTCATCTGGTTTCTCACTTCTTTTATGCAAGAAATACATTTTAGTGCTCTGTCCCACCATTTTGGCTGATATCACGCATAGCTAATTTAATGACCTTGGTCTTTAGTTGTACTTTCTGGTAGTCTCCATCTTAGAGGGGAAACCAAGACAGATACATTAGAGCACATCAAGACAGTAATGGACACTGACCCACAGACTCCTGAAATGGGGAGAACGCACCTTTATAAGGCGCTGATGTGTGACCTGTAAACCTTTTCACTTACCATTAGCCCCTAACCCTAACATATATGCTAAGTCTTTGATCCTTATTCCTTTTGCCCTGGCCCCTAGTATCTCCTGTTCCTGGATTATCTCACAGGCAAATTTTTGTTTTCTAGAAACTCCTTCACCAGCTTCAACTCACAACCTATCTTACAGGTGAGTAACATTATGCTTCCTCTCTCTAGGGATCTCTTCACACTGACACTCTGCCAGCAGTCCTGGGGTTACTTCTCCACTAGTCTATACCGCTAAGGTTTATAATCTGCTTTACAAATAAAAGAGCAGGTTGAATAGCACTGTGTTAATATACATCTGAATTTTTTTTTTGTCTTTTTGAGACAGGATCTCACTACCGGTTCAAACTGGCCTTGAACTTACTTTGTACCCCAGGCTGGCCTTGAACTCAGTGGCAGTCCTCCTGCCAAGGCCTCGCAAGTGCTGGGATTACAGGCGTGCACCACCATGCCCAGCCATATCTGAATTATTTAATTTTGTTTTTATGAGCAATCAATTTTTTTTCCCTCTCTGGTCTAAATGTTTAGGCCCTTCCTTTACACATGTATTTTACTTTTGTGTGTCCTTTTCTCTGCTTACGTTTTTATTTCTTCTCCTCAGAACTTCATCTGCCTCCTCTGGGCAGGGGACTTTTTGTTTCAGACCATTTCTAAATGGGGAGTCAGGCCACATAAGAGTCCTCACCCCTAACAATCCTGGTAAGTTAACATTCCCAAAGGAGTGAAGTTTCAAGCACTGACACAAACTAAAATGAAGATTTCCAAGGTGACAAAAAGTTGACATTTGCCCCTTAAAGAGCATTGTTGCCAGTTTGGTTTCTTAATTTTTTTTTTTTTTTTTTTTAAAGAATTACCCTATTTCCTTTACAGTGGAGAGATTTTGTCTGGGTAACACTCATCCTGTCACTAGTTGAATTCTACTATTGAGCCGTTTTGACCTATAGAATTAGAATGATCTGGTTTGTTTTTTTTTTTTTTTGAGATCCCTATGTTGAATAACCTTATTTTGAACATGCTGTGAGTTCAATTCTGAGGATTATAAAATCAATATCCTTTTTTCTCTCCATCTTTTAAAACAAGAGTATCTCTGCTACCAACCCTCTTGCCAAGGGGCTGCCATCTTTCATAGCTCACCGAAATATATTGCCTGTCTTTCCACTCATAGCTAAACTCAAATCTCAAACTGCTTTGTGGGCATCCCATCCTCACAGAAAATAATGGACTTTATAATCTACCTCTGATATTGCTTAGCTAACAGTCTTTTCCCCTTTGAGTAGTGTTCCCTTGATTTAGGAACCACCTAGAGACCCCAACCATAAGCAGCACTGCTAAGCAACTGCCCAAAGTGTCCCTTACTGTCTCCTTCTGTCATCAGGTCAAAGGGGGAGCAGAACACCTCTGGAGAGTTTTTCTGGCTTCCAACTACCAGTCATGCAGGTAAGGCTTGGCTAGTCTAACTGGCCAGTGCACAAAAACTCACATGGCTGGGCCAGCACACGAAAGGCTTTCTGGTTTTGTTAAAGTGGTAGAATGTAATCAGTGCAGAGCGACATGGGTTGCAGATGTAATAAACATTTTTTTCCTCATGATGGTCTTTTTTGTTTTGAGACAAGGTCTTGCTATGTAATTCCAGCTGACCTTGAACTTGTGGCGATCTTCCTGCCTTAGCTTCCCATGTGCTGAGACTGCAGATGTGACCACCCTGTCCAGCTCCTAGTCTCATTTCCAAAGATTCTATCTTACTATCAGATTAACTTCCTGGCTTGAGATTTTTACTTTAAAATTTCTTTGTTTGCATGGTATGGGGGATAGCAAGTGCTCTAGAACTGAGCTACATTTCCAGCCCCTTTTTGAGAAACATCACTAAATTGCCCATGTTGGCCTTGAACTTGTAATCCTTCTGCCCCAACCTCCTAAATGGCTGAAGATTACAGGTTTGTGGCTTGGAGAGTTTTTTGTTTTGTTTTTTGAGATGGGGCCTGGCTGTGTGGTTCAGACTAGCCTTGAACTCACTATGTAGCCCAGGTTGGCCTTGAACTCAAAGCGATCCTCGTCCCTCAGCCTCCCAAGTGCTAGGATTACAGGCGTGCACCACCATACCCTGCTTGGAGTTTTTAAATTAAAGTCAAATAATAGTGAGATTTCAACTAAGAATTCTTAACCACTTTCAGAGTGGTGTTGCCCAGTAGTTCCACAACAAAGTGTTTCCAGTGGACCATATCTTTTTGGTGAAGGTACTACTTGAACTAAGAAAAACCACATTTCTCCAGAGATAGGTAGACTAATGCTTTATAAATTTATGGGAGTATGGTTCTTCTCCAGGCAACAAAAGGAAAAGGACATGGCAATGAGTAGAAGTTTGTTGAGGCCTCTATTAAATGAAAAGTCTAGTCTTGCCTTCTAATTTTTATGACGTGGGTTTTTGAAAATACTGGATCTTGATTTTTTTTTTTTTTCCCAGTACCAGGAATTCAGCTCACAACCTCGTGCTTGCCAGGCAGGCAGTGTGCCACTGAGCTAAATCCCCAGCCCTAGATCTTGATTTTTAAAAAGTTGTTAAAAATTCTATTAGACAAGCTGGGCCTGGTGGCACATGCCTGTAATCCCAGCACTTGAGAAGCTGAGACAGGAGGATTGCTGCAAGTTTGAGACCAGCCTGGGCTACAAAGTGAGCTCAAGGCCAGCCTGAACTGCACAGTGAGACCCTGTCTCAAAAGGACCACCTCCCACAAAAAGAAAGAAAAGACCCCTCCCCCAGAAAAATTCTGTTAGACAGAATAGCCCAACTGCCCATCAACTGGTGAATGGATAAAGAAAATGTGGGTTTTTTTTTTTATACAATGGAGTACTACTCTGCCATAAAGGATAAGCTTGAGATATTCCTAGGTAAATGGAGATCATAAATCAGACACCCATGTATAAATACCACATTGTTTCTGTGGTGTAAGATGCTGAAAATGTAAATGAGAACCAAAATGTATATTAGGTATTTTGAAATAGAAGGAAAATGTTCAAATTGGGAGGGGGGAAGGGAGGGGGAAGAGGAAAAGAAAGAAAGGAAAAGTAAAAAAAAGTGAGAAAAGGAAAAAATGGAAACAAAGCTTTTGTAAATAGGGAGGGGAGGAGGGGTTGAAGGGAGGGGAGGAGAAAGGACAATAAATCAAGTTATATCCTGCACAGGTATAAGTTCTCTATGCTGAATGTGATCACTATGCATATCTAAAATGTACCAATAAAATCTGATTGAAGAAAAAATATTCTGTTGGACACTTGAGGAAAATCAATGTCTATTGGACATTTGATATTAAAGAATTTTTAACAGTGGACATTTTTTCAGCATGATGATAGTTTTTTATCCTTTGTAGATGCATACAAAATTTTACAAATGCAAAGTTAATGATATCTGGCTGTCACTTTAGTATAATTTAGCAGATAGGATCAGTAGAAAATAGAAATAGAAAATCAGCCACAAAGCCAGGCATGGTGGCGCACGCCTGTAATCCCAGCACTCGGGAGGCTGAGGCAGGAGGATCGTTGCAAGTTGGAGGCCAGCCTGGGCTACAAAGTGAGCTCAAGGCCAGCCTGAACTGCATAGTGAGACCCTGTCTCAGGAAGACCAAAAAAAAAGGAAAATCAGCCACGAGTTATTTGTTGAGGTTTGGTGATGGGTATATGAGTTCATTATTCTAGTCTGCCTTGTTCAAAAATAAGTCATTGAAGAAAGTACCACCTCCCTGGAGGTATAACAATTCTGCTTCCCTGGTAATCATCTCTGGGCATGGTAATCACATGTCCTAGATCTTCCAAAACAGTTTGATTTTCAAATATTATTGTCATGTCATCCTTAGCCACTGAAATATTTCAGAGTTTCATAAACAGCAACAAGCCTTGCCACACAAGATACATTAAATCGCTATCTGTACTCAATCATTATGCAGTGGGAAAAACCTCGGGAAAGCAACCTTGGTTGGTTATGTTCCAATGAACTTCAGATAATGGCTTGCTAGGGTCTCACTAGCCGTTTTTGTTACAAACACTCAAATCTGCCTTCCTGTTCTCTGTTGCAGACTCTTTACCAACAGAGGCAGATGGGATCAGGTAGGGAGAGAGACGCCTACACCACTCCCAGATAGATCATCGTCAAGGACTCATCTATATGTACGGCTGAAAGCTGGACTGTAGCATCTGGTATCAGTCCAGGGAGATGGCCTTGGAAAATGGACGGTCTCACTCTGTACCTTACTCCTTGTGTAGCTTTATCCTACACACCCTATACCCTACTCCCCCAGGAAAGTGGTCAGGTCTTACACAAGGCTAATGCTTCAGGAAGATGTTTCTCTCTCCCCCGCAAAAAATATGTAGCTCCTTTCATTTCCTGCAGTATGAAACTAAACTTGTAAAGTCACTCTTGGCATCATGCATGGGAGATTCGATGATGTCCTCATCAACTCGTTTCTAAATTTCACGTTTTAGCTTTGGGGCTCCTGTCCCATTACCAGTGTTGGCAAGCAGCAGCTCTCTGTCCTTGTCCTCATTTACTCTACCTTCCCTGTGTATCCATTGTTTCCTCTGTGCCTGGTCACTGTTAAATGTGTTGATTTTCCTTTGATAGAAATATTTGGAGATGTAGATTTTCAGTTTACTAAACTCTATAGATAAGAAGATGCCCCTTTATGACTATTGCACCTGTTACTATTAAAAGCTGGAATGGTGGGATGATCAACTGCAGTTACTTGCAAACCTCCTGTATCTCTGAGGTTTGAAGTATCTCTTGAGGCTGAAGCCTCAGAAAATTTAGTCACTGTCATGTGACTTCTGGAAAACAATGAAACAATGTGTGTGGTGACAGATGCTGACCTTCTGCATTACAGTGTTTGTTCTTTTAATTTACCTCAACAAAGCCTTGCCCTTCAAATAATAAAAAGTACAGTACATCAGAAAAAAATTCTAATTGGTGCTGGGAATCCAACCCAGTGCCTCATATATGGTAGGCAAGTGCTCTACCACTGAGCCACACCCACAGCTGTACGTTAGAAATATTAGTGGATTTGACTTCATTCATCCCTGACAGGAGTGGTGAAGTGGAAAAGAGAGAAACAATTTAATTTGGGGCCTGTTTATTATTATTCTAGGAATGCAGGGTTTCCACTCTTACTTTTAGGTTAACTGATATGTTTGTTTTTATAATCTCAATGGATAAAAGACATCTAAGACATTAGATGTCTTAGATTCTAAGACATCACATTCTAAGACATCAGTAATTAATTCAGTTAAAGACCATGGTCCCTCTGTCCCCAAGACAGATCTTATCGCGAGGGAAAAAGTCTCTTTTTCTGGTCCCAGATTAAACATCAAAAAAGCCTGATAAATCAGTCTCTGTCAAGCTAGACAGGAGGTAGCGTCAGGTTTGTAAAACCAAACCCAGTGCTACTTCTACCACCCTTTGACCAGGAGAGCTGTCCCTTCGCCCTCTTTGTAATGTAATTGTTTTTGGTAAAGGACATCTTCCCTAACTCCAATAAATATTCCAACTAAATATTCACCACTCAATTTCTAAACTGTTTCACACATGGAGAAGATTTACCCTGAGACAAATAGTGAACAAAGGGGATTTTGTAGCAATAAAAAGGTAGGAGGAAAAGTGGTCCCAGAATCACAAATGAGAACATTCTGCTCCCTGTGAGTCAATGATGGTTTTTTGTTGTTGTTTTTTTGTACCGGGAGTCAAACTCAGGACCTTGTGCTTGCCAGGCAGGCGCTTACGCCACTGAGCTATATCCCTGGCCTTTAATGAAGTAAGTGAAACATGGGCTATCAAACTGGCCTGAGGAACGGGAGGTATCTGTGGTAGGCTGGGACAGTTGAGGACCTTAGCTCCATCATGCACTGTGCTCAGGAGGGAAGGGAAGGCTGAATCCACGGAAAACGATGGGATTAGGGTGCACTAGAATCATCAATTGAATCATAAATCTTTAGTCCTTTCTAGGGCTCCTGTAGGTGTGGGGATGAGGCCTGACTTCTGGCACATTAAGGGAGAATAATAGCAGAAAAAGGGAGAACAAGAGCCATTTCCTGGCTCACTGTGAGGTCTGTAGCCCTCTACTGTAAGGCTGGAGGACTGTGGGTCATCCTCCCCCATCCACTCTCAGCTCCCTACATCCCCATCACCCACCCTGAAGACACAAAGCTTTTTAGTTCTTTGCCACAAAGTAATTTTTAAAATGTGGTTTCTTTGTATAAACAGTTACTAAGTCATTCATTGTTCATCCTTTAGTAACAAACCTTCCCCTTTCCTTAGTCCCCTCCACTCAGTCCTGTATAATCACATCATCATCGTCATCCTCCTCCTCCTCTTCCTCCTCCTCTTCCTCCCCATCTTCTGGCAGTTCTTGCTCTTCTTCCTCCTCCTCCTCTTCATCTAAACAAACAACCACCTCTGCTGGCTCACGTAATTGAGAGTCAAACCAATCCCGCACCTGCTGGGTGCTCAGCCTTGACGCCCGACACAGCTGAGGGAGATCAGTTTCCCAGAGCTGATGGTGGGCTGCCCAGTACTTCTCCAAGGGTCGTATATCCGGTGGAGGTGGGGGTGCCGGCAGAGGTGGTGTCTTGGCCCATTCTTTCAAGGATCGAGTTGATGGTGGTGTGGGAGGTGCCGGGTCTTGGAAACTAGGGGCACCAGGCACTGCATTGTCCCGAAACCATTTTAGTTGCCCATGCTTCAAGGCATAGCGTGTATCACCAAACCACTGAATGATCTCAGGCCGAGGTAAGCCTGTGATTTGTTCTAACTTATGGTAATCCTCACGCCGTGCCCACTGGCACTGTAGAAAAAAGGATTTAAGGATTGCCAATTGCTCTTTGGTTTTGCGCTTAATCTTTCGCTGGCGTTGCATATCGGGGGAAAGGTATCCTGTGGGGCTGGCCCTACCTGCTAGTGAGTTAGGCCGTAGCCTTTGGGCCCAGCTTGCTTCCATATGTGGAGGTTGTGCCTGTTTACTGGGTGAGAGTGACTGTGAGACACAGCCCTGTGGCTGGATGGGCTTAGGGCTAGCAGTAGCTCCATTAGCCAGGACCTGGAAAGAGGAAGAGGTAGAGGAAGAAGAAGGAGTCACACCAGTTTCAGTCTTCTCCTTACAACTACTGGCCAGTGATGAGACTGGGGGAGGTTTATCCCGAGGGCATGGCTGGGGACCAGCTGGGGAGTGGTTCCAGGAAGCAGTACCCCCGCCGTGTGAGTGGTTGGGACCCCTGCCTGCCTGCTCCTTGGAGAGGCTGCTACTTTGACGATTCTGCCAAAAATCTTGTTGGTGAGGGAATGCTCCACTGCCAGGTGTCAAGAGGGGTTCCTTTGCTTTCTGGAGACTCGGTGGCAGTGGCAGATTCTGAGAGGTCTCCTCAGGCTCGACCTTCAGTCCTTTTATCTGGGTGGGCTCACTAGGAGTCAGAGGACCTATTCCAAGGCCACCTTGCTCTGGAGGTGGCATTTGAGAAGATGGCACCTCCTCTGGGGGCCGCACTGCATGATGGGTAAAAGACAGGAGAGATTTGAAGTGGAGCTGGTCCTGGTGGTAGACCACTCGCGCCCGGGTCTCTTCTATTTCTTCAGACGACCAGCTGATGCCACAGCGGAGGCGCTGGGCCATGAACCATGTCTTGACTTTCTCCATCTGCAGCCCGTAACGCAGGCAGAGAAGGGCAATGTCTGCTAGACTGGGGTAGGGGAAGTAGCTGAATGTTTGCAGCAGGTGTTCGTTGCTGTCCAGTTCACTGGTCTGTGCCGCTTGGGTCCACACCAGCTGTAGCTCCTCAGAGATTGGAGGCAGGCAGATGAGCCCTGCTGGTGAGCTGTGAAGACTGCTGGCCTCTTTGCTAGGAGGCATGGCTCTTGATTTGTGCCCTTCAGCAACAGCTATAAGAAGAAGAGAGACAGCTCAGTTCACGGAGGCTCCTCTTTCGGCACATCACGATTTCTACAGTTGTTGGATGCTGAATAATTCTACTATAGAAAGTACTGTTAAAGTGGTCATGGTACATTGCTTATAAAGTGTTCATTTATTTTATTACTTTTTTTTTTAGGTTGCCCAAGCTAGTCTTGAACTCCTGAGCTCAAGTATTCTCCCACGTCAGCCTCCCGAGTAGCTGGGACTATAGATGTGCATCACCGCACCCAGCAGTTACTCAGTCTACATAACCTTGTGAAGTCCTCACAGCCTGCTATAATTCCTAATTTTTATATGAAAAAAAATAAGGTCCATAAAAGTTGTTATCCCAAGTCACTTCACTAGTGAATGTTGTTACCAAGACAAAAATCTGTATGTATAGATTGAGAAGGGAAAATAATCCTTTCCAATTCAAACTTGCATTGACTTTCAAATTCAAACTTGCTTTAGCTTTCAAATTTAAACTTGCTTCTAGAAGCTACTCCCCAACTCTCACCCTTTAAATTCATGGAAGAAAAGCCACAAAATAAAGACAGCCACAAAGACAGGAGCCGTAATCTCAGAAGTGTTACTCTACTGCCTAATATAGGATCACCCCTAGAATGTGGAAGTAGGCTAGGAAAACTACCTGGAGGGGAGGACAGCACTGTCCTCTGCCCAGCTCACAGCACTGTTTTTCTTCCCCTTCTTGGTGGTGGAGTGTTGGGGGAGGGGCATGATAGTACCTTCAGCCTCTAAATTCAATCCAGATAGCTCTACCCCCATCTCTCAGTAGGTGGAGATACCAGGATCTGGGATAAATGGGGCTCACCCCCCTGGGTTTAGGTCATGTGGACAGGGGAATGTTTCCTCCCCCAAGTCAGCCACAGAACAAAGGTTATCCCTTCCCCCAGCCTTTGTCTCTTCCAACAGCTCAGCCTCTCTCCAGGGATCCCAAAGAGCTCCTTCAAACGTTAACAGCCCCCGCCACTCTGGGCAAAAGGCCTGAAGCTCTTATCTTTGCAGCCCAGCTTTCTTCTCAAAGCCAGGTGGACAGCTTCATTATAAATTGCAACCAGTTCATGCAATCCACTCAGCACAACAATGCTCCCAGGTTAGGGGTGGAGGGCTCCAAGGTTAGCCTCCAACTGAAATACAGTACCTGCTCAAGTTATTTCCCAGAATATTACTGAGTTTTGTTTCAACTCCCAATGTGGGCACCAGAGATCCTTTAACATTTGTTACCTTTTACGGGATTTACCAACTGTGTTTATAAATATTATTTCTGATCTGTTTAGGTTAGGACTCAAGTTTATAAAGTTCAAACAGTGTAACATCAGGGATATTGACTGACTGACTGATTTGCAGTGCTACAGACGGAAGCCAGAGCATTGTACAAGCTTGGCAGGTGTTCTACCACTGAGCTATAACCACAGCCCGAGAAATTCAGATTTTCAGTTACGGTGAACCTTGAGTTTGAATCCCAGTTCTGCCATTTGCCAGCCAGCTATGTGAAATTGGTAAAAGTACTGAAATTACATGAGCCTCAGTTCCTTCACATAAAAAAGGAATGCTGCCTGATACGTGGCACACACCTATAATCCCATGACTCAGGAGGCTGAGGCAGGAGGAGAGTTCAAGGCTAGCCTGTACACACAGGGACACACACAGAGAGAAAGGGGGAGAGGAGAGGGAGTGGATTGCTGAGTGTACTGTATTATTTTTACCAAGCATCTACTGTGTGCTAGGGATTAATGCACAGGCAGCCATTAGAGATGGAAGTCTGGGGTGCAGTAAATTTGAGATTAATTGCAGCTCTACCACTTTCTAGAATGCTGTTTGTCCTTATGAAAGTTATTTAAGTTTCTCATCAGAAAAAAAGAAAGGAAAAAATAGCTACCTGGAAAATTTATGACTAAATAAAACAAAACAAAACAAAACAAAAAAAACCCTTGACACTGTGCCTAGAACAAAGGAAAGGCTCAGTACAAGGCAGTTTTTATCATTGCTTCAGCCTCATGGATGCCTCAGATGTAAGGTACTATGCCTCTTATGGTGAAACTGGGGCAAGACTGAATCGTTTATCATGTTTTTCAGTCTGTTTTTGCAGAGTCCTAATTCTCTCTAGCAGTGGAGGAAACTAGAGTATTTATGATTTTTAAAAATTTACTTATTTTTCTTCTGCAGTGCTAGAGATGGAACCCCGGGCCTGGCGTATGCTAGGCAAGTGGTCTACCACTGAACTACATTCCCAGCCCCTATGATTTCAGGGGTTTTTTTTGTTTGTTTGTTTTTTGTTTTTCTCCGGTACCAGGAACCGAACTCACGACCTTGCGCTTGCCAGAGCAGGCGCTTTTGCCGCTGAGCTAAATCCCCAGCCCCTCAGGTTTTTTATATTTAGGGGTTTGACTACAATTTCAGAATGGATTTTGCTGTTTTAAAAAGTATGAAAATCACAGCTTTGGAGGATGTTCTTCCATAGTTTGTATCCTTTTTGTTTGCTATGTGAACTGCCCAAATGACTGCTTTATCTTTTCCCTCCCAGGTTTATCCTAACCTGTGTCATGGCCAGGAGCTACACCATCACTTAGAAACTGTGGGCCCCTAGGAACACCACCAATCTCAAGGTGGAAAATACTTTATGATGGCAGTGCTTGATATCTACTTGACCTCTTTTGTGTCTTTTTCTGTAAGGACACACATTTCACTTTTTAGATATAAGGGAAATGTGGCATAAAGAATGCAGTAGTCTGGTCCAGTGTGAGGTTGAAGACTGACATAAAAATATAAGACAGACACGGCTGAATGCCTACAGAGTGACAGCCTTCAAGTTCTCCTAGCATCACCTTGCTGTTTCGGTGTGACATGTAAGAAGGCAAATAAAATACCTTGGGATAGGTGTACATCGTTTTCACATACACAAAAGGTAAGTTATGGAAAACTTGTATCAAGGTACAGCTGTGTAGCTGGTACTTCCCTGGAAGGATATGGCTTTGAACTAGGAGGAAACTACAAGCCAGAGTGGCTTGTGAAAATTATAACAAGCAGGGCAGATCCTCTTGTAACCAAAAACACAATTTAGATTCTACAGTGTCTGTGTTCCCGTGTCTTAGATTAGGTAGAGAAAGGGAATCAATTCAGAGTAGGACTCCTAGGGCAGAGGTCGTGGTGAGTGTTCTGAATAATTAATATATTTGCATCCCTATTAAGTATGCTAGTTATGCTTTATTGCTGAAGTCACTAATAACAACTATAGAGTCAGAGCTGGTGTGGTGTGAGTGGTGCACACCTGTAATCCCAGTGTTATGGAAGGCTGTGTCAGGATGGCAGCAAGTTTGAGCTCACCTGGGCAGTTTGGCGACTTAGAACTTATCTCAAAATTTTAAAAAAAGTTAGGGATGTAGCTCACTCAGTGTGAAGGCCCTGGGTTCAATCCTGAGTACTGAGAGGAAAAAAGTTTAACTCCTTTCCTTCCCTTGGGCTTTCTGTATTTTGGGCAGATGACAGTAAAGAACTTCAGTTTTATACAGTCCTAGGAAAAAGATTTTGGAGCTCTCCAGTTGAACGTGGGTTTACAGTTAAAGTAAAAGACAAAATGGAAAACAGGTATGATGCTGAATTCTCTAAATCTTTATTCAAGAGAAAATCTGAATTATTGCCTGAAATGTGTTTTCATGGTATAGTATTAAAGGCTGTAAGGGCTTTTCATGAAATTTAACTTACATGCTTCTTAATGTTTCAGATCCTGAACCTCTCTGAAAATCAGATAAAAGTTACAACTGTCAGGTTAAGACCTTTGGCTTGTCTTTCCATCCTAATAAAGCCAGAAGTGGTAATTCCTTAAAGACCAAAGAGCAGCTTAATGTAAACGAATGGAAAGAGTGGAAGACTGGAGAATTCGATTACAAAGGGAACGGAGTATTTATAGTATCAGTTGGAGAAAGGGTGAAGAGTACTCAACTAGGCAAGGGCCTGGTTTGGCAGACCTGATGGATTACTGGTTACTACGTGATCAGTCACCACAGTGCCCTGGGTACTAAAGGTTAGTAGGCTGTTTCTCATACACCCACATCACTAGCTTCATTCAATTGTCTGTGTGCTTGGAACAAGTTTGTGTGATTCCAAAACTGCTTATCCCCATGGTTTTTCAGTATCTATGTAATAATGTAATTAAGCATCACTTAAACCTCTGAAAAAATACTAAATGAAAAACCTTTCCTATGAAAATGAAGCAAATGCTTTGGAGAGGATAATACAGCTGAGAATATACATTTAAAAGCTGTGAGTGAGGAGTGGGTAGGACAACTGTAAAAGATGAGGGTGAGGCTTTAAAATCTAAAAAGCAGGGCCAGGGATAGAGCTCGGCTGCCTGGCAAGTGCAAGGTCCCGAGTTCAATTCCTGGTTCCAAAAAAAAAAGGAACAGTAAAATCTCAAAAGCATTCTGCACTTAGATTGCTTCAGAAGTGTCTAATCTCACTTCATCTTAAAGAAACCAAAACTGGAAATCACAGATGATCGAACTGCTTGAGTGATTCTCACTCAGAATGTACACTAAAAATTACCCGGGAAACTTAAAAACCAGGCCACCCTCCTCCCCGGGTTTTATTTAATTAGTCTGGACTGGGGCCCAGTCATCCATAGTTTTACAAATTCTCAGGGTGCTGCCAGGTTTGAGACTCCCATGGAGTTAATACTAGAAAGGCAACTGGGAACTTGAATCAGCAGGCTTACACACACACACACACACACACACACACACACACACACACACAAGTCTCAGCACTACATAAAAAGAATAGTGAAATAAGTATTTTTAATTGCAGTATTTTAAGATAACGTATGCATTGTTTTTTAAATTCCCAGCTTTGGCTTTTTCGATTACTGCCTTCTACCTATCCTAAATCATATAAAAGGGACTCATATATAGTAAGAAGACTCATAGGTTAAGAAAGATCTCCTGATCTGGGCCAGCATTACCAAACAGGTCTCAGCTTGCGTCTTCTTTCAGTTTAGAAGTCTCAGATTAGGACGCAACACCAGGAACCTCCGACGATTCGATTCGAACTGTTTCCTGGTCTGGTCTTTTGCCTATGCTGGGCACGGGAGTCAGAAGGGCACTTTCTTCTAAACCTTTCGTTCCCAAAGCCCACTGCTCCCCAGAAGTAAGGTCAGGTTCTGTACTTGTGTTATGGTCGCCTGGAGGTAGTCATGGGGATAAGAAGCGGGGAAGGCCTGGGAAGGAAACGTTTCTCCTAGCCTCCATTTCACGGGCGGTCTAGAAGGCTCCGAACTGGGTCAGAGAACAAAAAGTTGCGGCACTTGGGGGCGGTAGCCCCAAGAGGCAGGCGAATCTCAACCGTTCCTTAGCCAAGGGCGTCCCAACCCAGTCGTCCCCTCCTCCCTACACACCCCTTCGCCCTCCCCAGTTAGAACAGGGAATCGAAAAGTCCAGAGCAGAAAGGGGGAGAACCGGGCGACTTCGGACCTAGTCCAGTCCAGTATTCTCCACCCCCCGCTCCCGGCCGGCCGGGGATGGGGCTCCGGAGGTCGCAGAGCGTACACCGGCCGCGAGGGGAAGTCCAAGGGGCTGGGATCACTCACCGCGGTCCGGCCCGGGCGGCGGCTCCCAGCCTCGCACCAAGGGCTGGGGGGAAAAGGGGAAGAGGGCAGGGGGCCTCCAGGTGGGAGTGGGGTGCTGCCCTGCGCGGCCTGCTCCGAGCCCACCCGCACAGCAGCCCAGGACAGCGACTGCCCCCCTCCGCCGCCCGCCCACTGGAGCGCGCGGATCTCGCCCAGCCCTCCCGGTTCCAGAGAGTTGGAGGCGGGGCGGGCGGGTGGGGCGGGCACCCAGGGGCGGTGCTAAGGTGGCCCGAGTCCTGATTGGTGGATGTAGACGGGCGGACACCGGCGCAGTGCGCTGGGCCCGCTATTGGCTGCGTAGGTCGCGGCAGAAGACGGCAATTGGCTTCGTGATTCTCAACCCGGGTCAGCTATTGGACGCGTGGAGACTGGAAGATGTCCCCCTGGGCAAGGGTGCTGTGAATGGTACCTCCCCATACCCTCGAACTGTCGGTACTGGACCTTCTAAATACACCAGCCTACGTTCTGCCCGAAATTTCTCCTTTGGTGAACCGTCTGCGCCCCAGCAACTGACTCATTTGCCTCCTCTGAGACCTTTTTAACTAGCCCCTCCTTAGCCTTACATACGAACCGCGCCCAACAGCGTGAGCTGTAAGGACGCGTCTAAAGCAACTGCCAACTCCTTTGAAAATAGATCAGATGTCTTGCCACCCGGAAGGACCAGGATCTTAGGAGCCCAGATCGGTGTTCCCAAGGACAAAATGCTTGCTGTCTCCCTGCCCTAGTAAAGAGGACCTGAAGCTCTATCTTATTAGGAGAACTTGGTGTTCTCTGTCTTTCATCAAAGTATTATCCCATACTGTATGAGGAGCTGGGTCAAAAATTATATATTTAGGATTCCCCACCTTCCGATTAAAACTTGGGAACAATACTTTCTGCAGTGACCCTTTTGGCCTCACGTTAGGCTTTGAAAAGGCTTCATCTTGCCTACATAGTCATTATCAGGCTTCCTCTCTTATTCGCAGAACTCATCACTTCTCCCTCCTTACATATTCCAAGAAACTAACCACAGAACCCCTTTTCACACTTCATAGCTTCACTCCACCGGCCAGAGCTCTTCCAGGGTTACCGGACATCCTAACTCTGCTTCCGCGCTAAGCTTCATTCTCTGTTGCCGGCCCCTTATTTGTCCCTCCCTCCCGCCCCCTGCCCCTGGTGCTCCCGTCCTCCTTTCTCCACCCTCCTGCTATTTAGTAACAATCTCAACTCCTGAGAACAGTCCCTGTTCTTCAAACTCTAATGGCAAAAACCTCATAGGCATAAACAGCAGAAAGACATACTCAGCTTTAAGTTTAGAAACCTAGCGGGCCCTGGCGGCACACACCTGTAATCCCAGTACTCTAGCAGCCTGAAGCAAGAAGATCACAAATTGAAGCCCCGCCTAGGCAATTTAGTGACAGGCTTTATCGCAAAATAAAGATAAAAGAACTAAAAGGGCTGGGGGTGTAGCTCAGTGTAAAGGCCCCGAATCTAAGGAATCAAACTTCAGGGCCTTCCTCGCACAGATCTCTTCAAGGCATTGGAGGAGCCCAGCGACATGTTAATGTTGTTACAGGTTTTTATAAAACTTGAAATACATATCTAACTGTAATTGGGAAAGATTTGATCTACCTTTCCTTTCTGATTTGCTCTCCATATTTCCCCTTTTGTCAGTTGGCAGGGAGAGGCCATGTACATTTCGGGATTAGTTTAGGAAACTGGGATTAGTGTAGTTAGTCCAGGCTCAAGTAGGAAAATTTATGGGCTCACGATCACTTCTGTGAATAAATTATCCCCGTGTTGATATAGTGATATGGACTGATGTGTTGCCCCCAAACTCATAATAGTAGTAAACCCTCAGTATCTCAGAATGTAACTATTTGGAGATAAGACTTTAAAAAGGTAATTTAAATTAAAATGAGGTCTTGTGCTCACTTCAGCAGCACACATACTAAAATTGGAACAATACAGAGAAGATTAGCAGGGCCCCTTTGCAAGGATGACATGCAAATTCATGAAGCATTCCATATTTTGAAATAAAACTATAAATCTAAAAAAATTAAAATAAGGTCTTTAGAGTTGGTTCTAATACAGTTGGATTGGAGTCCTTATGTAAAAAAATTTAGACATAGCTGTGTGTGCACAGGGAAAACTATGCTGAAGATATAAGGAGAAAACAGCTATCTATCTACCAGCCAAGAAGGGAGCCCAAAAAAATGAAGTCAACACCTTGATTTTGAACTTCTAACTGCAGAACTGAGAACATTTCTGTAGTTTAAACCACTGTGCTATTTTGTTATGGTAGCCCTAGAAAAATAATACAGATATATATGGGGGAGGAGACTTCCAAGTATATGGCATCCCAAATTTGATTTTGCTCCAAAATCTTACATCAGATATATGAAAGAGGCTGGGGATATAGCTCAGTGGCATAAGCACCTGCCTGGCAAGCACAAGGTCCTGAGTTCGATTCCCAGTACCAAAGAAGAAAGAAAGAAAGAAGAGAAAAGATACATGAAAGAAATTTGAGATATTTCCCCAAGCTTGACAAAAATCCTAAGCATTTTTGTAGGATAATCACAAGGTGTGAAGGTGAATTTTTTCTAAATTATCAAGAGATTTAAGGGGCTGGGGATTTAGCTCAGAGGCACAGCGCCTGCCTGGCAAGCGCAAGGTTGTGAGTTCGATTTCCGGTACCGGGAAAAAAAAAAAAAAGATTTAAAAATTTCATTATGCTAGAAGATAAGTCTCCCTTCCCCTGTGTTGGAGATTGAACCCAGGGCCTTTGTACCGTTATCCCCAGCGCCCCTTTTTTTAATGTCTTGAGATAGGATCTCACTAAGTCATTAAATTGCCCAGACTAGGCCTGAAATTTTGGTCCACCTGCCTCAGCCTCCCAGAGTGCTGGCTAGGTTTACAAATGTATACTATACCCAGCCATCTTTCTTCTTCTGTATAGAAAAGAATATGTAAACCACCACAATGGCACACACCTATAATTCCAACTACACAAGAGGCAGGAGAATTATAAATTCAGGGCAGAGTTGAATACCTTAGTAAGAACTTGTCTTCAAAAAAAAAAAAAAAAAATTCTCACTGTGCACATTTAGGCTGCTCTTGAACTCACTATGTATCCCAGGGTGGCTTCATACTCCAAATGATTCTCCTCTCTCATCCTCCAGAGTGCTAGGATTATAGACATACACCACCATCTAAGTTTCAAATTTTTAAAGAATTGGAAATATAGCTCAGTGTTCCGGTACAGATAGATATAATGTAGCCATATACAGAATCATATGACTATGACAAAGTCTGCTAAAGAGCATCAAAAAAGAGTAATAAAATTGTCCAAGTTTGCCAGGTGGATAACTTCTCATCAGTTTTTAAAAAACTCCTAATTTAGAGGCCTGGGTATATAGCTCAGTGGCACAAATGCCCACCTGGCAAGCGCAAGGTCCTGAGTTTGATTATTGGTACCCACCCCCCACAAAAAAACCCTTAATTTTTAAAACTTTTCTCATTCTAAAAATACTCATTTTTGTGCCCAATTTTATGCTTATATTTTCTTAAAAGGGGGTCCCAAAAGTTGCATACTTCAGGTGCCCAAAAACCTGGATATACCCTTGGGACTAACTAGATGGATATGGTCAGTTTGTCCTGTTTAGGAAAACCCTGGTCACGCATTCTGTGCCTTATCTTCTAAGAAATAGCAGAGCTGGAGGGAGCGGGAGAGCTGACGAGTTAGGACTGCAAGTATTAAGAATCTGGAGTGGGTTTGGGATAGCAAAAGCTGCACTCAGTATCTATAAAAGAATGAGTTCAGACAAACCTAATGCCTAACTAGGATGTGAAAAATCTGGAAAGGTCAGGCCCTGGGCCCCCAGGCAGGAAGCATCAACCCCTGGACAGCCCCTACTTACCTCTCCTCGGGTGTCTACTCCTCATGCTGACTCTGCCCTTCAGCATAGCTGCCCCCACCTACAATACTCACTGAAGTGTGGGTGCTCCCCAGTGACATCACAGTTTGGTCATTATGATGTAACAAGGACACATTTGATTGTGCTACCACTAGGGCTCCCCCATTAGATATGTCTCCTTACAGTGTCATTTGATTGTTTTCATCATTCAGGTGATGTGGGAGTCCACCCTGTTAGAACTTAGTATTTTTCAAGAACTTTCCTTTATTACTTATTCCCGTTGCTCCATCTCGGCTCAGAGGTCCTCGCTTTTCTTCTTCATCGTATTTCTCACCCTTGGCTTTAGTGTTGCCCTTGATAAGCAAAGAGCTTTGCTTCTCCTCCAGTGGTGAAGGGGTAAAATGTAATTCAGATATCTGCAAGAGTCCCTGCCCAAGAGGAAACAGGGCTGTGCCATTCCCTTTCACTGCACCTGTAGCTAATGCTGGGTGCCAGGAACTCCAGAGCTGGCCATTCCCCTACAGGGGTGTCTTGTACCAGGGCCACCCAGCTCCTCTGTATCTCCTTCCCATGCAGCTTTTGCATAGCCAGGGGACACCAGCAGAAAGGGAATAGAACTCCTGTGGAACTCGGGGTTGAACTCCAGCCTTTGCCCTGAGCTGTATCTTCAGCCCTTCTGAAATTTTTTGATAGGGCCTTGCTAAACCGCCCAGGCTGGGTTTGAATTTATGATCTTCCTTACCTTGGCCTCTCAGAGTGTTAGGATTCCAGGTGCTTGCCATCATGCCCAGAGGGAATAGGACTTTTTAGGAAATGGAAAGACCAAGAAATGTGGAAAGGGACACAGACAGAATCTTGCCCTGGCTTTTTTTCAGCCTTTGGCCCCAAAGAAAGAATACTTCTGAATGCTTTGTATTTTTGTATTTCAACTTTATTTCAAGCATGAGGTTTCGTACCCATAAAGGAGGACAGCTGCATGAGGAATTTGAAGTGAGGCACAATACTAGAGGTTTTGGGGCTCAGGGCTGCACTGGGAAGGGTTGGGTAGGCTCTGGGAGGGCCTGGAGAGAACAGTGATTTTGAGGGGATTCGTGTAACAAACTTTCATTTTTTCCCTGGGTGGAAATGTAACAAACTTATTTTCTCCCTACTCAAAAAATGGATTGTTCAGTCTTTAAAGCAAGGTCCTAGTCTTTAGCAGCAGCATCAAAAGAAATCCCAAGGCTGGAGACAGAGAAAACTTAGTCCTTTGTTCCTCTTTATGCCTGCAAGGAAGTGGGTAGAAACTAGTAGCAAAAAAAAATGAAACTTTTTTGGGCCAGGGATATAGCTCAGCAGCACGAGTGCCTGCCTGGCAAGTGCAAGGTCCTGAGTTCGATTTCCAGTACCAAAAAAAAAAAAAAAAAGACAAATTTTTGATGTTATTCCTTGCTATGAAAAACCATGGCTCTGAATGTGTGAGGTATGTTTCTCAGACTGGTAACAGGATGTAATGAGGAGGCCTGAGCTTAAACCCAATCTTGAACTGCACTAACAAATGATCTCACCTTGCTGCGCTCCCTTTCCATCTCTGAACCTGTTCTCCATAAAGGAGCCTGCACTCAATGCTCTCTGAGAGAAGCCTTTCATGTCTCTGATTCTATGACCACTGTGAACAGCAAGGATCCAGAGGAGCTGCAGAGAAACACTTGTGGGAGTTAGGCTGGAAAGCTGAGGAGTCAGGACTTGTTATGACATGAGCTACATCCATAAAGACAAACAAAGCAACAGGAGGAAGACTATAGGACAGGGAGGGTAGGAAGATTTCTGAGATCTGGATTAAAGGGCCACTGCTCCTGTTGAACTGGCTCAAGCACCAAGCCCCTGACTGGAGTGTTTCTTAGTGTTTCCCAATCCCCAAACTGCTCCTATTCAGACTCACCAGCCATTAGAGGACTCTCCACCGCACTGCCTAATAGGACCCCTAGATTCAGTCAAATTCCTAGTGGTTCCATGCCAGGTTGGATCAAATGCTGGGAAAGCCAGAAGTCCCAGCTGTCAGGGTGTAGCATTCATTTCTTACTGGGAGTTTTGGGAAGAGCAAGACAGGAAGGAATGAAAGTACTAGCTCGTGGCACTAGAACTGCAGGTGTGCAGGCTTATGATGCTGCTGCACAAGGTGAGGAAAACCCTGGGGCAGGGAGATCTCAGTGCTCAGTCCTTGGGGAGGGATGCACTGCAAAGGCACCTGGGCAGGGAATCTCTCCAGAGAATCTCAAAAAGACCAGGCACACAAAAGCCATTCAAGTATTAGTTTCTTTCCTATTTTACAAGGCTTCGTGGCACTGGTAGTTGTGCAAGTTCAGGATCAAAAAGTGAGACCCCCATTATCTGTGTGTGCAAGAAGGGGCTCAGTCCAGGCCCAGGCTTGGGTCAATAATGGGGAAAACTGTCATCTTACTCCAGGGCCTATGCTAGCTAGACATGGAAGGAACTAGAAGACTTGTGTTATCCTACAGACTCATGTTACCTCTAACACTGCTTAGAGGACAAGCTCAGGGGACAGGATTATTCTTGGTTACCCCTCCCAAATTCAAGTTTATATTTACTTACCAACAATACTAGGGCTCTCAATGAGGGCCTAAACACAGCCCACCCAGCAGGTGTCCTAGCCAGGGGCCTTTCCAGTGAAAATATCAAGGAATATGCCCATTCAAGGTGGGTAGAGAGGAAGAGCGGTATGGCAAACCAACAGCCAGGAGAGAATTACAATGTACACAAAGGCTGGAGTTTAAATAGGTTCCCACTTGCTTGCAGGTAGGTGGGGTGATCCCTGGCAGATCCTGCAGAGCTGGGACACAGGCACAGAAGACAAGACAGCAGCAAGCTCCTGGCAGAACAGATGAAGCTTGGGACTTCAGTGCTTTGCCTTCTCCAAGCCAGTTTAGGAGACTGGGAAGATGGGAAGGTAGAGCACAATCAGGAACTATAATTTTCCTATTAAAAGATGATATACAGCAAAGTTTTAATTTTTTTCCCTTACGGCCTTACAGATTGAGCCCATGGCCTTTATATGGGGCTACATCCTCACTTTTTTTTTTTGTTTGTTTGTTTTGAGCAAGGTCTTAGTCACAAGGTTGCCCAGGTTGAATTTAAACTTGCAATGCACTTGCCTCAGCCTCCCGGACTACTGGGGACCATCATCCCCAGTCTCATTTTGTTTCTGAAGGAAAAAAAAAAATAACATTATGGCCAAGCACATGGGCTCTGGGGATTACTGGGTTATATAGCTCTACAATTTACTAGCCATGTGATCTCAAACAAATTACTGAATTTCTCTGGGACTTATCTCTAAGATAGGAATAATGATAATGCTTAACTCATTGGGTTGTTCTGAGGATGCATGTGAAACAACTTTAGCAGATATATATTAGTACATGTGAGCTGTTTCCATTGTCAGTATGACATAACAATAACGCGTTAGGCGAAACATTATTGCATACTGAACCTGGACCCAGGCTTCCCGGGTTTCTTGTTGATGCTAAATAGTGCAACGCCCGGTGGCTTCCAGTAGTTTCACTTCCCTTTGCTGGAACTCTGACCTAAAGCTGATCCATAAGACACGTGAGATTCTTTGTTTTCATTACAAGATGACTTTTTTCTTTTGTGGTACTGGGAATTACACCCAGGGCCTTCACACTGAGCTACCCCCTCAGTCTTTTCTTCATTTCTTGAGACAGTGTCTCACAAGTCACTGAGTTGCCCAGGCTACACCTGAACTTGCAATCTTCCTGTTTCAGCCTCCTAGAGAGCTGAGGTTACAGGCATGAGCCACAGTAAAAACTAAGCATGATGTTTTAAATTTCTTTGTGGAATCACCCAGGGGGTCCTCTCAGCTTCCCTCAAAGGATTAAGGCTGTGGACAGGAAGAGCATGGTAACAAGCCCTACCCTCCATTCTAAACGCATGTGACCCCTGTCACTTAGTGACAAGGAAGCAGATGGAAATCTTGAGAAATCAGTAATAGAAAAAAGTTAGGGGGAGCTAGTTACCTGGGAGCTTCTTGTTCATCTGTAACATCAGGAACTGCTTCTCGTCCCCTTGCTCCCTTAGAAGAGTGGCAAGGAGCCTGAGGGAGGAAGGTGGCTCACCCATGGTCTTGGAGAAAAGGAGGGAGAAGGAAGAGCAGAAATCAACACGGATGAAGAAGGAAAGGCAGAAATAAAGATAAATACCCTACATGTTCAACAAAAAAAGTGATGAGACAGAAGGGGAAACAACGAAAGGAGATTAGATACAGGGTGAAAGGAAAAACAAGCAACCAGCAAAGAAATGACTTCTACGTTAAAATTAATCAAGAGGAGAGACTGCAAGCATGAATGCAATAAATAGCTTTCTCATTTCACCCATTCAGGATATGGGTCAAACCGCCATGTTCTGACACCAAATTTCAAATCACTGGGCTGGGGATATAGCTCAGCGGCACAGTGCCTGCCCAGAAAGCGCAAAGTCCTGAGTTTGAGTCCTGATACTGCCACCCCCGCAAAAAAAATTTCAATTGGCTCTCATGCTTGATGCTTTCCATTCATTTTACCTATAACCTTTTATTCTCAAAAGAGACACTTATGTTGTTTCCTTCCATTTTGAGGGCTACCAAGCACCATTTTCCCTAAAGATGTCTCAGAGAACCCAGCCTGGAAGTGTATGGAGGCAACATCAAAAAGCAAGGGGCAGAGGATGAGCCGAAGTTTGGAAAAGGCTCTGGACTACCCTGAGACTTCAGATTGGCTGCGGGACACTTCCTGGGCTCAGGAATACCTGTGCCCCAAACTACAGGGCCCATCCTCAGCCCCATCACACATTCAGGGCTGTGTTCTGAACTGCAGCACAAGGCTGGAGATTCTAACCTATACTGTGCTCCGCACAGATCATAAATGCCAAAACAGCCTTAAGTGATCACATAACTCAAATCCAGTTTCCCCAAGCAGGAAACAGGGCCCGAAGGACTGAAGTAATTTGCTCAAAGTCATAAAACTAGTCAAGTGACTTCCTTTTCTTCTTAGGCATAAATCTGAGTATTCTTGTGTTCACGGTCCCTTGACACAAATAATCCATAAAGTGCTTAAAGGTTATTAGAAGGCACCCAGAAAAGTAAGGCTGGCATTTTTTTCTGGAAGCCCCTGAGTGTACCAGCTCCTTGGCTGTTCCATAGTTTGGTTACAAGGACAGACCTGGAGTTGCTTTGCCTTCATTATTATCCCCACCGCTGCCTGGAGGCTGGAGGAAGCTCTACCACCTAACATCACTCCCTCAGTCCGTCATGACTGAAATCCGAAACTGTTGGGGGACAGGAAGTCCTGTCAGGATGCCCAGGGAGCAATGGCCAGGTTCTTGGGAGTAAGCAAGGCAATGATGGTTGAAATAAAGCTAGGATGGTTGGGACTGAGGGACGCGAAGTGGCCGGTAAAAGGGAAGGTACCAGCAGCCTAAAGGACTTCAACTGGAGGACTACACGCGTCAGACCTCCCCAGTCCATCATGTGCCTCCGTTCCAAAGAGGTCCCTTAACCTTTGACTGCCTAGTCCTGCCGGGCCAGCTCTCGGAGAAAGCCACCACCTCGCTTCCCAGCGGTCCTCCTTCGCCGCAGCGCCTCTTTCGCTCTGCCCGCCCCTTAGCCGCGGGTTCCCTCCGCTCACACGCAGCCGGCGCGCCCCGCCCCTCCGCGCGCGCCCCGCTGGACTCTCTGGGGCAGCTGCTTGCCGGGCTCGGTCCCTCCCATCCTCCCGCCACAGGCGCTTCCCGCTGCCTCGGGTGCCTCGGGTGCCTCGGGCATTCTTCCCCCGGAGTGGGTGCAGCTGCCTCATGTCAAATAAAGTGGATCCAGCCCTGGGGCTCAGGAGCTCCGCCACTGCCCGGGTGCTCCGGGCCACGTAGAGCATAGTCACGGCCACCGTTGTTGTCCCAAAACTCGTGACCCGTCACGCGGTAGCGCAGGGCGAAGAGCAGGGCGCCCCCGACGGGCGGCGCGGGCAGGCGGAAGGCGAAGCGATCCGCGCGCGGCGGGGGCGGAGCCGGCCCGG